CGGCAAATGCGCACCGGCAACAGGCAATCCCCACGCAGCAGTGGCTCCCGTACGTGTCCGTGAGAAGCCAAGTGAAAAAAAAAAGAGCCTCGTACGGGCGCAGTCATTGTTTCGCCCCCAGATGAAGGCTGCATTGGTGTCCGCCGCGGTATATCGCAATAACTTTGCCCCAAGTCCGCACCTCTACCTGCATAATAACAATAGCAATAATAATAAGAATAAAAGAGTGTCAACATCCCCTAGGCGCTCCAGAAGAGAATAAATGACAAATAAATTAAGAACACTTGTCGTGATACGATGGCATCCCGTGGAGCTTCACAAAAGTCCAATAACGTGTCCTGCAAACAAGGAAAAAGCTTTGAGAAGCAAGAAAGTGAGCAACGTCCAAAAAGAGTTCACAGTGCAAAAAATACCAACTCTGGCACTGGGCATTCATAGTTACCGCTCACGCATCCATGTCAATGGCATGCCACTGCCACATAAAGAAACAGACTGTGCAAATAAGAGATATTTGTTGAAGTACGTGGAAGATACCTCTATGCATATATGTATGCCGCCAGTTTCATTGTGTCACCGCAAAAGAACGTGAAAAGACATGTCCGCTATAAAAGAAAAAGATGAGTAAAAACAGTGAATGTGCAGCCGGATGAGGCACGGTCCCCTTCTTCCTTCCTTCCTGCAGAGAGTGCGGGCAGACAACAAGAGAAGGCAAACAGCCGGGCTCAATGCACCCAACATCCCCTCACGCCTCAAGCGACACCTGTCCAGCACAGCCACACACACACACACAGAGCAGTGGACCAACGGGCTCATACATCCATCCACCACAACCGGGCACATCGCGAGCCCACGAGGTGGCAGCGTTTTTAAAAGTGTCCGGCGGTTGCAGGGCCCCTCCGCGTGAAGGACAAAAAAAAAGGGTGGGCCGGGTGGAAAGGGGGTGGGGGAAACGAAAAGAGAAGTTTTACTCACTGCCCCCCAGCGCGGTATTTCTGAAAAAAACCGACCAAAAAATCAAAATAAAAAACGATGATTTTATTCCCCGCAGAACAAATGAGGGGGTTAATTACACACAACACGCGCCCACAAACCCCTTGCCGCTCCCAATCGTACATCCCCCTCCTCCCCAAAGAAATCGTCAACAATGAAAAGGAAATGTCCTCACCAACAAACACACACAGACAGACAGACAGAGAGAAGAAAAAGAAAAAAAAGAAAATATTTATATATTCTTTGAGATTACAACACCGAAGAAAAAAACAAAACAAAAAAAAAAAAAAACGTGGGTGGGGGGGTAAAAAAAAAAAAAAAAAAAAAAAAAACAGAAATCAAAAGGAAAACAATTATTTCCACCACAAATCACTGCTCCGTACAAAAAAAAAAAAAAAAGGGGGGCGCCAAAAACCCAAAAGTCAAAAATAAAATAAAATAAAATACATACGAGAACACATCAAACAAATGAAATACAACCAGTAAGTCCGAAATTATGAATGCGGCGTAAAGAAAAAAATTATTAAAAAAAAAAAAAAAAAGTAAAAACCACAGGAAGTTTTTAAAGACCCAAGTAAAACAAACCTAATTATAGAATGAAACAAAACCCAAAAACACAATAAATTTTAAAAATGCTATTCAATGCATCGCCTCACCGTAAACGGCAAATGCGGTCCCAAACACAACACCGATCACACCGACAAACAGCAGAAAGTGCGTCCCGATGTAGTGAAAGTACCCAACCGACTGCAGTGTCCAGTTACCGCTGTACATGTACAGCAGGGCAGGGAAGATAAAGCCAATGAAGCCCCCAGAGAACCCACCAACAAGGCCAAACACAATCGTGATGCTGGGGATAAATAGGCCACCAATGAGTGACAGCGTCGCCATAAGGCCACAGACCAGTGCGTTCTTCCACCATGCAATCGTCTTCACATCAACACTGAAAACGTGGTAAACAGCCTCACGCACTGGAATCATGTGCAGCCCGTAGCCAACGCACAGTTTTAATACCATACCCGCATAAGCAACGCCCATCATCTTGTCCTCTATCGGGTTGTACCGATTGAGGACGGAGCCTGTCAATGCCGGGCCAAAGTCCAGGTAGCCAAAAAATCCCGAGCAAAAGAACATTGTGACTGAAACAAACACACCAAGTCCAGCGCTCTTCGTAAAGCGCGCAACACTTGGCTTGTACATTTCCTCGTACACCTCATACGCATTCAGCTGGCAAATAAAGGCAAATGTGAAAACGGAAAGGCCCTGAATTGCGCTGTTGCCAGTCCGGAAGTACACCAGATCATCACGCATGCCATGGGTGATACTGTTGCGTACGGAATGGATGATCACGCAGATCACAAAGAAAAAGACAAATGCAAGAGCCAAAACAGATATGTGGCGCAGAGAGTTGATCTCCTTCGGTAGGCACAGCGGCAGCATGGCAACAAGCCACACCATGCTCGTAATTAATCGGCGGCCAGAGGAGGATTTGAGATATTCTGGGGCGCTTTGCGAACTATCAATAAAGGCGCCAATAAGGTCTCCCATATAGATCATGTAGGAGACCTCGCCACCAAAGCTGAAAAGCCACATGTTAAAGGCCAAAAAGTAGTCCGCACCCTTCCCAAGAAGAGCCCTCGTGACCTGCTCGTAGTTCCGCAGCCCCGTCCGCTTCCCGGCGATGCCCAGAAGGGTGAAGGAGTAGATGGTCAGCAGACCCACCACCACAAGGTACACCAGCGCCATCGCCAGCCCGGACGTGTTGAAGGCATACGGCAGCGCAAGTATTCCGGCGCCCAGCGATGAGCTGGCAAGGTTGCATCCGGAGGAGATGATGCCGCCGTAGGGTATGATGCGATGCAGCCCCCGCTTGAGGCAGCTCTGTGGGTCTCGCCGCCGGGCAACGCGCTCCTGACGCTCCTGGTTCAGTTTCTCAATGCGGATCTTGGCGACATCCATTCGGTCACCCGTGGGAAGCCCTGCTTGGCCCTGAAGGTCCTCGACAAGCTCCACACCGTCGTTCAGTGGATCGTCGGAGGTATAAGTCCTGAGGTTCGTGCTCATTTTGTGTTCTCTAGTGGAATACGCTGGTTTATATATTGTGAGTAATCAATAAAGATGCAAAAAAAAAAATTTAAGGATAAAAGGAATACACATATATATGTGTTAACTTATGAAGTGTGGTGTGGGAATTATTAAAGAAGTAGAGCACAAATGTAGAGAGAGAGGTGCAGCTCACACCGTAGACGTGGATAGAGCATCCCCAATAAGAGGAGATGAAAGTAAATCGATAAATAAATAAATAACCAAAAAGAGGCCTTCCCTCAAGTTGGGACAACAGTGGAGACATTTATTCTTCATTTCTCACCCCCCTGCGTATAGAAGAAAATGGTTTGAAATATTTTTATGTGCCAACACGTCCTGTTTGTCTTCAAGGCTTGTAGTCAATTACGCTGCTGGGACTCCTGTGTCATCATGCCCCCTGGCAACAAGCAGGAGGTGCCATGTAGACGTCATTTGAGGAAAAATTGCGTCATTGAAACCGGTGATGCCGCACTTCACCACTCGTCTCCTGCTTGCATGTCAACAGTGCCGTTTTTTTTTTTTTTTTTTTTTCTATAAAGTCGAATGCATAAATAAACGCCACGTGTCTCAAAACGCCTGGCCGGTGCAGCCTTTCGCAGCCGTGTCTCCACATCAATTGGCCGCATGCCTGCCTGTAATGCGGCGTTCTGTTACGCATGACACGTTTGCTGCAACGCATTTCTGTGCTTTTTGAGAAAAGCCCACGCATGATATCAAAGAGCATCAAAACAAAAAAAAAGAAAAAAAAAGAAAAGGGGAAAAAAAGGGGTGTTGTCATCACCAATAAAAAGTACATCAAGCACAGAAATAAAGAGAAATATGTACATACAAACAAAATAAAAAGAAGGGGGAAAAAAAAACACAAGAAATAATTAATCACTCAGAAAGAAGTAAAAAAAAAAAAAGAAAAAGAAAAGCGGCTATAAAATTAAAAATAAAACAGTATTTAAAAAGTGAGTAAGGTAAGAAAATGAAAAAAAAAAATCAATATAAAAAGTAAAGAAAGGGGCTCGGTAATAACAACACCTTCTGCAGAAAACTCTCCATTCATCCCTTGTGCTGTATGCATAGGGTGTGTCCTATTGCTAGACGTGTCCTAACATTACGATATGCTTCATTCTCGGATTTATTTATCCTTTTTCAATGACATGTAGGGCTACTACAAAACGACGCCACAGGCAAGCAATCGCTTCTCGGCAGAACAAATGTTCTCTCGTTCTCTCTCATACTCCAGGCGCATTTCTGCAAGCGTCCGCACCTCCCGTGAAGGTGACGGCGTTCGCAACACAAACAACGACGGCGCCTTCACTGCCAACTGCCGAGTGGCTGAAGAGGCATCACGCGGTGGGCGGCAACGCGGCGGTGGCGGCGGTGGGAGTAAATCCTCCACCGATCCATGACGGCACGCATGGCAATCAAAAGAGGAACTTTTAGTATTCGCAACGCTGGCTTCAGTGTTGCGTCGAAATTTGTACGATATTTGTGGTGAGGAGGAAGGAGAAGGCATGGAGGTGCAGTCCACTTGTTACTTCTTCACAGGCGCTGGAGAAAAGGAGAATTTTTTCGGGAAAAAATTGAA